CTGCCTTGTGAGTGAGACTTTTGAGTCAAAGGCTTTGGTTAGTATTCCCAAAGAAAAACCCCTTCGTCGGTGTGGGCTACCGCCAAGTATGTCGTGCCCTAAAGTTTTAGGCACCCATTTGGGAAACCCTCCTTCCCGTCCTCCTCTCAATCCCAAATAATCTCAAACGCTGTTTACAAGACCCATCCGATATCACTCAGCATTTTACCAACAGTCCAAACAATCAGAATCTACAGGATTTTTGAAGCCGAAATTCCCTTTTTACTTCACTCAATGTCCGCACACTCTATCAGATTGGTCAACAGGCTGCCTTAGTTGGAACCGTTGAAACCTTCAATTTAGATGTATGTTGTGTCTCCGAAACACGCATCCAAGACCCCACCTCCATTATCTCCCTGCGTTCTCCTGATCCAGCCTCAACCTCACGGTTCATCCTTCGTGTGTCAAGCGATTTGGCATCCGAAGCTCGCAGTGTTACTGGTGTCGGGATTGCGCTTAGTGCCAAGGCTAAACGCTCGTTTCTCGACTGGATTCCAGTCAGTAGCCGACTGTGCGCCGTACGTCTCAACGGTTCACCGCTGATCAACAGCTACATAATGAAACATCGATGTCTATCCGTCGTGTCGGTGTATGCACCGACCGATTGCAGTACACCTGAAATCAAGGATGAATTCTACAAGGATCTTTCTCGATTACTCCAAAGCGTTAGATCAACGGACATCGTGGTAATCGCCGGAGACTTCAATGCTCAAGTGGGATCCATGGACGAATCAGAGAGGCTTCTTGGCGGACCGCAGGCACTCCCAGCGAACCAGATGGACAATGGAGATCGCCTACTTCAACTCTGCGCGCACCACAGATTGTTCTTGTCAAACATGAACTTCTCTTCACAAGAAACGTCACCGTATTGCATGGAAACCGCCAACCTCTTCACAACGCTGAACCCAAATCGACCACATCGTTATCAGTTACCGCTGGAGGGGATCGATCCAATACCGCCGCTTTTATTAGTCAACCCCTGTGGATACGGCCCACGCTATGCTATGAGCCAAATTCTTCTTACGCCTGGCAAATAACCGTAAAAAAGCCACCGAAAACGGATATCTACGATACAACGTCATCCTTCAAAGCGGAACTACTTAGGAATACGGGTCATAGGAAAATAAACGCAAGGTAATTAAGCATTCCGATGGCACACTGATTCAGGATCAGTAACGCCGTCTTGATCGATGGGCTGAACATTTCGAAGC